TGTTGGAATGACTTAGAAACTAAATATGCACGTGTCCTTCATAGAAAAGGGGAATCACAGCTAACAGGTGCAGGAATGGTTTTAACACTGCACAATGACAGAATTACAAAACAGGTACAGGTTTACTTTGCAGTGGCTTAAATGCAGCGTTCTCACCAGTTAATTCATCCGCAGAGAAGTACTTAAGTACTTATCAACACAGCGTAAGTATGTCGAATTCACCCGAATGACGTAAAAACACAATGCGAGTGCCAAGTGTCAAAAAAAGAGCGATATTGTTGAAACTTACATTGTGCCATTACACCCTTCTACGTGCTCTACAATGTACACCGGCAGCATTTGTATTACTTCCACAGTATTAGTGAGTACTTTAAGCACTTATCCATAGCTTAACACACAGATGAATGCACTCCAGTAAGGATATTGTAAAATGTTACCATAAGATGTGAAGGTGTGAGAGGAGAACATGGAGGTATATATGGCACTGAACTAGCTGACGGGGTCAAAGGGAGGGAACAGGGAGCTCTGGACGGTAGAACTTTCCCCAGAGAGATGCAGTCTGTCCACCTCTGGAAACACTTCCCACACAGCTCTCATCTTTCTTTCTCACGCGACTTCCCACATTTCCAGTGCTTCACCTGTAAGGATGTTCTTATCAGATACAAAAATCAAAACAGTTGGTTTTTATCTCCTTTTTGCTCCCAACAGTTTTGCATTGAAAAATACTTTTTTTTTTGTTTTTTAAATCCTCATTTCTTTTTTTTTTCCCTTTTTATTTAAACTCCAGACGTCTATTTGTAGATCCAGAACCCGTCTCCATCTGTAGCTACATGTGTTGGGCATCCATTATGTCCAGGTATTTGGCCTCAATGATATGAGGAAGCACGTTGTTCCTAAACACAGAGAAGACAGAATCCACGTCAGTCGTCAGACCAGCACGGAGAAAGAAAACACCAGCAGCATGTCAGATCTTATCAGATTACATTCATCGCTTCCTTCTCACCAGTACAAGAGATCGAATCAACGCGAGTGTGCACAATGGCAGCACAGATCCGCGTGGGGAATTGCTGATTATACTGTTTATCAGCTGCAAACTGATACTTGGCACTCGAAAACATTTATCTTTCTGATGCGACTGTTGAGGCAGCACAACATGCACTGATCCCAACTGTACATGATGTCTGCATTAAAGCTGCTCCAACGGATGAAGGGATTAGGTTCATGAGAAAGGTGTTGCCGTTCCCCTCAGCTCTACAGAGCTTAGATCACATCCTCACGCTGATCGCTTTTACATCCCACAACTCAACTGGTTTGGTTCAGTCCCATTGCCTTGATTAGCTGCTGTACTCTAGCTGGTTAACATAGTGGAGCATTTAGCAGGTTAACACTCAGATAATTCCACCAGGAAATGTAAAGAGCCAACTGTGCGCTAACACATGAACCTTAGCAACGTTAGAATTTAAATGATGTGATCAGTGTTGTGTTTATTGCTTGTTGCACTGTCCCCACGTTCCCCCGAAATAAATAAATGAAGGAAGGTTTAAATGACAAAATAGTTCATCTTAATAATGGTCGAGGAGTATTCTGAAGTACAGGTGTTGTGTGGTTTCAGGTGGATTTTACAGCAGTTAGAAACGTTAAGCTATGCGAGTGCTGTTCACACACGAGTCTCTTCACTGAACACTGTGAAGCTGGAACGATTAAACGAGTCGCTCTGAACTGCCAATCTGCATCACGTCACTGCTGGAAGAGCTACTGATAATCTGAGGGGCGGATTCACCAAGAACAGCAACATGAATTGCGCATCACCTGTAACCGCTCTCTGCCTCGCCTCCAGGTCACGTTCACAAAAGACGTGGAGCTAAAAGATGACAGCGTCAACACGCTAATTAAGTTGCAGCTGAGTGCAATTTGCCCTTTTTCGCAGAGGGAAGAAATGATTTGTTCATTTGTTTGTATACAGTAATAACCTTATTATGTTCTTGTCGTCGGTAGTAGGGGAGCTTTGTTCCTTTACTTTTCTCATGACACAACTGTCATTGCATCGTGTCAGTGCATCCCGACATAGATGAGTTTGAGCGCTTCATGCATGACGATGTCGTCGCCTGAATACAATCACTGCTGCCATGATCACTGGAAGCCTGTGCGTCCGGTCTCCCCTAATGAATGCACTTCAGTTACCACCAACTCTCTGAAAAGGCTCATAACATCGCTGTAACTGCGTGTGGCTATCAGCGCTGATCTTTGTGAATTGGATTATATTGTAAATGAGGCTCATTTCCGTAGAAAGGGACCAATTTTGCACTGAATGTCTGCATATTACCTCATTTAAATAGGTGCAAATAGCACAGGAGCACTGAGAAGCCATTTGCTTGGCAGCACAGTTATGGGTGCATTTCAACCTTTGCGGGTGCGTGGAGATTTACCGTTTCATTTTGTCTTATTTCTGCAGGTTTGGCGGCTGCAAAAGCCGCGCAATCTTTTTGTGAATTCGCCCCTCAGTCTGTTAATCAGGCTCGCATACAATGATATGTAATAGGTGTGGTAATAAACTGCAAACAGTGTGTTTCAGTAAACTTTGGTATTATTATTCTGTAATAATTATTATTATTCAGTGAGACTGAGCAGATGACCTGCAGCACAAAACATTTGTATCTCAACTGAACCGCCAGATGTTTCCAGCTGAAACACATTAAACCTTGTTATTGAATAAAAACATTAAATCGAATGAAATTAAAATGAATTAAGAAATTAAGAAAACTACAGTTGTCAACTTTATTCCCCCAAAATGTGCTGTTTTAAGAGACAAGTGGTGCTGACAACAACAGAAACATACAGTTGAACGTCGTCCTGGTTTAAAGCACTTGAGAAAAATCACATTCTGGGACAAAATGGCCACGGACGTACCTGATTGGAATTAGCATGATCATGCACAGAGGGAAGATCATCTTCATGTACGGTATAGGGTACATGCCGAACGTGCAGAGTACCAGCAGCTGCATCATCTGCAGGAAGGTGAAGTAGTGGATCTTCCTCTGGGGCACTTTGCGGATGTAGTGGGTAGGCGGGTAAGACGTCTGCAGGAGGTGAGAGGATCAGGACAGATTAAAAACACAATCTACCCCGAGGGTCTTCTTCCTCACTGTCCTCGGGCCTCCTGCAGTCTTAAAGACATGACTGAGGGAAGTGGACGGCCCACACACCTCTAAGAAGTGCACAGCGGGTTTCAGATCCTAAATAACATTGAGCCTTCAGTGGATGTTGTCTTATAGAGTCTATTTATAGCACGAGGGGTCTCCTGTGTGAATGCGAGGTGGGGGACAGGAGAGAAGCTGCTGGTGTTATTTTAAAACCTGCACTCGGTGAGGCTTTTATGTAAAAATACACCTGTCTCTCCAGTCTGAGTGGAGCTGCAAGAGAAACAAACTCATCTCCCCCGACTGATCTGGTGTCAGGCACGAACCTTTGCAACAACAGGAGCGGATAAATCAAAAACTACCACATGCCTCTGCCACCAAAACTGTTTCACAGTGTTGGTTACAACCTGCACGCGTTTTGGAGACATGACTTATGACACGTGGGGGTGTATTTTGTTTCACGAGGCAGACGCACAGGCCTCATGTGGGGAGTCTTGAGTCCTGTTTGTCCAGACAAGGCTTCTTGTTTTGTGATCATTTGGACATTTTATGAAGAGTTTCTCAGTCTGTTACTTTCATGTTTGATATTGTAATAGCATATTATGGTGATGCAGCTCAAACATCCAGGTGAAGCGAGGACAAGCAGAATACAGTTTCGTACATACCTCTCACTGCCATTTGGAGGCGCCAGTGTGTGAAGTTTAGAGTTTAGAGGAGACTAGTTCCAGTAGGAAGGTTAAATCGGACACACAGAAGAAGAGACACAAGAAAAGAGATTTCCTCTTCAAGGAAAAGTATTGTGCAAAATGTTGGTTTTAAATTATAATCTGACTGACCTTGTTAAGAAGGTTCAGCAGTGGAAGAAGATCAGTGTTTGGAAACCATCTTTATGCCGCTGATACCCAGCAATAAAATATATATTTAAAAACGACAATTTACTAGCTGATCTGTCTTAATTCACCAAACCCCACCTGGTGTTCTGAGTAGATTAAAACTAACAGAAAAATTATATTTGCAAATATTATTTGAGTCAACCGTTTGATCTGCAGAGCCCTGCAATCGACATATGGTCAGACAGACACACACACACACACACACACACACACGCACATTTATTCACTCACCCTCGTACACACACACACACACACACACTTCCTCACTTGCTCCTTGAGGAGGAGAGCCATGCGGTCGCACATCTGGTTTCCGTCGATGGAGGTGAGGGCGATGTAGAGGAAGAGGCCGTACAGGACGGGTTTGGGGATCCATTGCAGCGGGAGAGGCAGCAGCAGCACCGACACGCCGATGAAGATGTTGGCAGTCAGAGACGTCAGCCGGGTCTCCTTCACCTGGACGATTCTGAGGAGACGCACACACAATGACACACACACACACACACACACACACACAAATGAATGGCTTACCGGAGTGCACACAATCGTTTCATACAATGCAACAGACAACATTTCTAGTCCAGGATTTTCTTATCAGTGTTCCCGCACATTTTCCATTTGAGAAATTTCTTAAGAGTTTGAGGGAAATTTATTTTGGACTGTGATGAACAAAATGCAGATTTTTGTAAAGAAAGAAACTCTGTATATAGGACATGTCACCAACCGTGTTTCTTGTTCCCTCAGTAAATAAAAATACATTGTAACTGTAACTGAAACATCCTTCACTTGTTCTGACGTCAGACATTTTGGCCAAGTGTCGGCAGAGTGTCCTAAGCTGACCTATCGGTAGTTTGTGATGACAACATGCAGTATTAGCTTTTGTCTTGTCGGATGTATTGCATTGAGTGCAATTGAAACATCCATCTGTCCACTTATCCTGTCCAGAGAAGCGTGAAGCTGCAAAAGAAAAACACTTCATTAAATAAGTGGTTCCCAACCTGGGGGTTGAGACCCACACAGGGGTCAGGAGATGAATCGGTGAGGTTGCAGGATAATTAGAGCAATAGAAACGAAAAAGAAAAAAAAGATCTTTGTGACGATTCTTCCTCTAAGCCTTCGTTTCTTTTTCTTGACCTTTCTATACCTCTTCAGGCCTCTGAAAGTTATTCAAATTAAACATTCTTAGAAAGGAAAATGTGTCTCTGTGCCTCTCAACACACTACTTTGTACAGACTTAAAACTAAAGGCCACTATGCTTTTGAGGTCATGTCTCCTAAACTTTGGAACTGTCTCTCTCTTGCCTTCAACACCATCATCCCGTCTCTGCTGCAGGACAAGCTCTCCCAGCTGCACGTGCCCGTCTCCACCTGCAAGTGGATCACAGACTTCCTGTCTGACAGGAAGTAGCAAGTGAAGCTGGGAAAACCCGTCTAAGCCTCCCGGACCATCAGCGCCGGTTCCCCTCTGCTCTTCTCCCTGTACACCAACAGCTGCACCTCCAGTCACCAGTCCATCAAGCTCCTGAAGTTTGCGGATGACACCACCCTGATTGGACTCATCTCTGGTGCGGATGAGTCCGCCTACACGTGGGAGACTGACCATCTGGTGACCTGGTGCGGTCTGATCAACTTAGAGCTCAACGCTCTAAAGACAGTGGAGATGGTTCTGGATTTCCGCAAGAACGTAGCCCCACCAGCCCCTATCACCCTGTGTGACTCCCCCTGTCGATGCGGTGGAGTCCTTCTGCTTCCTGGGCTCCACCATAACCCAGGACCTCAAGTGGGAGCTTAACATCAGCTCCATCACCAAGAAGGCTCAGCAGAGGATGTACTTCCTGAGGCAGCTGAAGAAATTCAACCTGCCAAAGACAATGATGGTGCACTTCTACGCATCATTGAGTCCATCCTCTGCTCCTCCATCACGGTCCGGTACGCTGCAGCCACAGCCAAGGACAAGGGCAGACTGCAGCGCATCATTCGCTCTGCTGAGAGGGTGATTGGCTGCAATCTGCCGTCCCTCCAGGACTTGTTCACTTCCAGGACCCTGAAGCGAGTGAGAAAGATTGTAGCCGACCCCTCTCACCCTGGACACAAACTGTTCGAGTCCCTTTCATCTGGCATCAGGACCAAGACCTCACGCTACAAGAACAGCATCTTCCCATTGATTATTGCACTGTGTTCATTGTCTATTGTTATGCACTATTCACCAAGTCAAATTCCTTGTATGTGTACTTGGCAATAAACGGTTCTGATTCTGATTCTCTCTCTGAACGTGAGACCTGCAGACAGGTCAATCAGTTATTCAAACGCTCCGACAAAAGAACAGAAACAAACTCTGCTATCTGTGGCCGTCGCAGGACTGTAATAAAACCGTCCAATCATTTAATTCGAGCCTACCTGTGCACACTCGGTGTTTACGTCCATTAGGATAATTCTGTTGTTGTGGCTTTGGAGGGAGGCCTGAAGGGACCGGCTTGTTTTGCTGACTTTTTTGGAAGGTTTAGCAACTTTTGGAGCGAGAGCTGCTCGCTAATTTCATAGCAAAAGAGTTGGCAACACTGAGCTGTTTTTTTTTTAGTTGGATACTTTTTTAAATCTAGCGTAACATAACCAACCCTTGCTTTAAATGGGTATTTTATGTCTCCTGCTTTATCTTTATTTTGTATTTTGGAGCACTTTGCTCTTGAAACGTGCTCTATAAGTAAGATTACTTACTTTTGAAATGTCACCACAAGATTGGCCACTTTCGCAAATGTTCGTGGACAATCAGGAAATTTCGAATTTAAATTCCCAGACACACTTCCAAGAACCCTAAATTGCACATTTTTCTACAATCAATATCTCTAATTAGATCTCCTGCTCTTATAGACGATTGGCCCCATGCCCTGTTTATCACACTTGACTACATCAGAAATCCTGAATATATGCGCCGACTATAGCTTTGCACATATCTGCGTGGCCGTAATGATGAACTTAATCCTCTCATCGCTGAAAAGCTCCTTCACCTCTTCCGCCCGGAGAAAAGATGGTTAGCTACGTAGTAATCATGTAATCAGGGGAAGAGCAGGATACAGTAGCCTGCAACACAAAATTACCAGTCGCCACATGCTTGGAAGACGACCTTTAATTGAGCATCTGATTAGCAGCGGCGACGAGAGGGCGGGGAACTCACGTCTCATAGAGGTGCCCCCCCTCCACGCGCTGCTCCACGAAAGCCAGCTGGCGCACATGGAGGGTGGAGTGGGGGAAGGCGGCGTGCATCCAGGGCAACCCCAGCACCGACATCAGTATGTTGATGAGCCCAGAGAGCATGAGGTCCCAGTGATACGCCGTGCCCTTCAGCAACCTGAGGAGCAACGCAACCGTTAAACTCGACAACAAATATACTGCAGCAGCACAACGAACCACGCAGGGAAAAACTGCTGACACACACTCACACACACACACACACACACACACACACACACACACACACACACAC